GAAAAAGGAAAAAGGAAAAAGGAAAAAGGAAAAAGGAAAAAGGAAAAGAAGAAGAAACCCAAGTTGACACAACCGCTCTTCAGATATTACTACATTTCTTTTTTGTGTGCGATTAATTTTTTTTTATTTTTAACATACAATAAATCCATTCCAAACGGGTGTCGATTAGATACATATTTCATGTGCTTAACCGTTACTAATAATATTTTTCTTAACAGTATAACAATATAATAATAATCACATTCCCATATATATAAGTAATATTCAGTATGCCTATTACACTTTATTGCTTTATAAATACGTCTAATCCCTTTTAATTAGTTTTATTTTCTAGCCATTTATAAAACAAGTCCCATACCATGTAATATTCAGATTCTTCTTTTTCTTTAATTTCTAATGTTAATCTATTCATTTCTGCACATTCAAATATTTTTTCAATTACTTTTTCCTCTACTGGTATCTTATCATTTTTCCAATTTTGAGCAAATACAATTCTAGCTGCTGTTAATACATGTATAATTAAGTATGTTTTTTCTTTGCTATAACTTTCCTAATATGCTTATTCCTAATTAGGATATTTCAGGCTTCAAATTGATATGTTGTTTAATTGTTTTTTCCAACCATGTGTGTATTTTGGTTCAATATCTTTTAGCTTTTATACAAATCCATCACATATGGTAAAGATATTACTACATTTCTAAGGATAAAAATAAGGATATCTATGCCCAGTTAGTTTGGGAAGAAATCTATCTCCTTTTAGAGATGTAGTAGCACCTAGCTACAAATCAGGAGCTAGAAGCCAACACAATGACCATCAGAATCTCAGTTAGGGTTTCTTCCCAGTCTTGTTTGCGATGGATTGAACCTGGGATAGGCAAGGTCTTAATGCTGATATCTCTCTCTCTTCCTGGCCCCATTGAGGTCATATACTTCACACTCAAGAATTAAATTTCTAACAAGCACAGCCAGAAAAAGCACTGCACCTTTAACACCCAGGCATAGAATTATCATAACGTGGGCTGTCTTGCAGCCCATGTCAAGAAATGAAGAGCAATGCATAGTAGTTAGTACACTGGAGCAAATCTTGAGAAGTTCAGATTCTAAGGTCCAATCTCCAATCAATCAAGTTCAACTCTGGTCCCTGTTTTAAAAGCGTGTTCTATCTCACAAGTATATTGAGGGGACTGTAAACGGATGGACACCACATTTGCTGCTTTGAGATGGTCAATAGACTTTATTGTCTACCTTTCCAAACCAGAATCAGAGAGATCACTCACGGGTGTCGTTAAAGAAGTGTCCGTCAAGGTGAGTCCTTCCAGATCGGTCACGAGGCTAGTGGAGAGAACTGGGCTGCTGGTAACCGGCTGCAAAGATGGGGGTGTGACTGTGGGTTGAAGAAACAGAAAGCCAAGAATCAATATTGTATGCTTCAAGACTGATTCAAAGTGGAGAGGGAAAATAATGGAAATTAGACCAGACATGGTTGAGAACAGCTTAGAATAAAGCAGTCACTCAATGCAAGCTAGATAGACTTCAGCACCATGGACAGATCTCATAATTTAGATAGCCATGGACGGCCATTCATAAATTACTATGGAGGCATTGATGTATCTCCAAGATATGTTGAGTAGATAATACTCAGCCATGGATGTGTTATAGGTCCATATGAAGGTATGGGGGAATATGACTGTGTAATTAAATGCTTCTGCATAAGGAGTTTACTAAGCATAAGTAAATAATAATATAATGTAATAATTTGATAATTTAATCATATAATTTAATTATATATATATATAATATAATCATATAAATAATATAATTTAATTATATAATTTAATAATTAATAATTTAATAAGCATAAGGATTTACTAAGCCAGTGGTGGCTAACCTTTTTGAGCTCCTGTGCCAAAAAGTGTGTGCGCGCTTGCATGCTTGTGCTTGCGTGCCAGCACCCAGAAGGCAATGTGTGCCCACCCACACCCTATACATGCACACACAATCCCCACTCCCCACCCCCTTACCTGCACTGCACCTCACAGCTGATTTTCAGCAAGCTTGAGGCCTTTCTGGGCCTCCCAGAGGCTTGAGGAAGGCTTCTGCAGGCTTTGCAGGCCAAAAAGTAGGCCCGTTTTGTCACTTCTGGTATTGTTGGAAAAACAGGAAGTGACAAAATGGGGCTAGTTTTCACCCTGCAAAGCCTGCAGAAGCCTTCTTCAAACCTCTGGGAGGCCCCCAAAGGCCTCAAACCTGCCGAAAATCAGCGGTGAGGTGCGCGCATGTGCAGTGAGGTAAATTTGCCTGCAGCTCACGTGCCAGCACAGATGGCTCTGTGTGCCACCTGCGGCACACGTGCCATAGGTTCGCCATCATGACACTAAGCTAAAGGTCTCCAAACTTGGTAATTTTAAGACTTCTGGACTTCAACTCCCAGAATTACCCAGCCAATTCTGGGAATTGAAATCTACAAGTCTTAAAGTTGCCAAGTTTGAAGACTACCGTCCTAAATTTTGGAGCCCCTGGAGGAGGAAATCTCCCATCATTCATGGAAAGAAGACAAGTTTCCTGCAAGGGAAGGAACACAATGAGAGAAAAAAAATAGGTACGGAAGAACAACCCAAAAAATCCAGATTTATGGCTCTTGGACCTATAGTGAAACAACCACCTGGAAGCTCATTTAAAGGAGCCGCCCCAAAGCTCACACTTTCCAAATGCATGGATTTCAAATCCTAGAACTTTCCAGCCAACACAACCATTGTTAAGGATTTGAGAAGTTTAAATCCATACATCTACCAAGTGCCCGGGCTATGGAAAGCTAAAAAGGAATAAAAGTTATCCTAGGGGGACAGTCCTGGAGAAGGTTTAAGAGAAAGATTAAGGAGGAGGCTGAGAAGGAGGGCTGGTTGAAGGATGCTTACAGTCATCCAGATCAAGCAGAGAGATTTCCTTTGATCCTTTCTTGGCTGCTTTAGCAGGTGGTTTCCTGCTGGGAAGCTGAAAGAGAAAAGACAAAAGGAAACAGAAGCCAGAGATGGAACCACAACTCCAGGCAGGCCTGGTGAGGTTGGGAACCGTAAGAGACTCCAAACAGCAAACGGAATTAGATTAAACTGGAGACCTGCTCAATCACGGAGTTAAATCATATGTTTTTAATTTTATTTATTTACTTATACCCCACCTTTATTATTTTTATAAATAACTGAAGGCAGCGAACATATAAAATGCTCCATCCTCTTCCCCACAACAACCCTGCAAGGTAGATTGGGCTGAGAGAGGGACTGCAAGCAAAATCACCCATCTGGATTTCACGCCTAAGGTGGGACTAGAACTCACCGTCTCCTGGTGATTGGCCCAAGGTCACCCATCCAGCTTTGTCTAAGGTGGGACTAGAACTCACCGTCTCCTGGTGATTGGCCCAAAGTCAC